TACAAGACAAAAGAGAAAGTATATAGAAATTAAGTTCAATTCTGAGTTTCACTTGAATAAAAATTTTTCTAGCACAACTTTTGAAGTAGTTATTCAGCATAACCAAAGTCCTTTATACAGAACTCTCTCAAAAAACGCCAGTTATAAAGATTTAGCATTTTACTTCTGTAACAAATTGAAACTTTTATCATTAAAGCTTACATTTTGCAGGGAGAGAAGGGAAGGCAATGGAAAATAGAAACAATGCAACTTAGGAAAAAAATTGATCAAGAAGCACTTTTTTGGGTTTAGTAATCACTTTTCACAAATTCCTTGCTATTGAAAAATGACCTCTCTCCCTGAGTCGAAAAGAGACAAAAAGATTATTTTTCTTAGCATTATAAAAACACTGATCCAAAAGGAATTAAAGTGTACTTCAATGAAAAAAAATGTTATGTTACAAAGATTTATTTGTTGCATGTTAAATATGTAAAAATTATAATACTGTTATTTTAAAAGTGAATGTCAATACCCATTGGAAGTAAAAAGATTTTTTTTAAAAAGCATCAAATATGACATGTGAAAATGTTTTGACACTACTTATTTTCAGGTTAACATGTACAAAAGTTAGCCCTAGAAATATTTGTTCCTTTTAATTTTAATACTTCCTCTTTTTGTATCCAATACCAACCAAAACTTCCCTTTGATAAATTTTATCATCTCAACTCAAAGTTAGACAATTATCTCTAAACCTTATGTCTCCATAAAAGCTTCCCTTATAAAACTTTCCCCCAAACCCACTTTAGTTTTTTACAAAACAATAAAACATTCATGCTGTTTTCAAATACACCTTTCTACCTTTTGCTAACTCTTAACCTCCTTTTGTTATTTTCACACCTGTAGAAATTATACATGCTTATCAAATTTCATACTTTGTTTTCTTCCTCTAACTACAGTGCATTACTTTAATCTCCTCTTATAGAGATCATCTTGTCCAAAGCAAACCCTGACTTTTATTTCCTTCAAGTTCAAAAAAACATTAGCTACAAAAAAATGCACACAAGCATATGTTAATTTCCTCAGGGTTTGTTTCTAATTAAACTACATATATGATTTCAATTGAAAAATTTATTTCTTAATAGTATGCTCTATTTTTATATTACAGGTCATTATGTTTTGTTATGCTACTTAAAAAGGTTGTACATTCCCTTCCTTCTAATTCATTTACAGGAAGCTTTCAATTCATTTGTTTTCCTCTTCACACTTAAGTACCCAGTTTTCTACTCTACTCTCCTTACAGTTACAAAAATAATTCAGATTTTTGGTTACAGCTTCCCATAGTTGCGAAAGTGTATTAATTTACTTGAGAAGACAAGTTATGATGCTTTAGAAAAATGTAGACCATCATACTTGAATTTAGACACTAGATTATTTAAATTCATGAAAATATTGAGTTTATTCAATATAGCTAATAACCTACCATAGTAATAAGTACAAAAATTTGAAAAATATTGAACAAAACATAATTAGAGTGCTTGTCTAGTATGTGCAAGCCTCTGGGTTCCATCTACAGAACTGGAGAGAAAAAAGAAAAACAAAAAACATAAGTACTAGAATTAGTTTTATCTGATATTAACCAGGCATAAAATCACTATGAAGTAACTTTTTCATGAAAGTCCTAAAATATGTCCTACATTTCTACATTGTAAAAAAAGAGATTTATTATTTTTAATATTCCTTCCATTTCTAAGTATCTGGGTTCTTTTAGATGTGCAATGTAATCTTAGTCCTGAATTCTATATCTACTATAGTGTAAACACCTACACCTACACCTACAAACACACACGTATACACCCACCATGATAATATTTGTGTTAAGGAGAAACTTCAAGAAAAAAAATTAAAGTGGGTGCAGTGGTGCAAGCCTGTAATACCAGCACCTGGGGAGGCTGAGACAGGAGGATTGAAAATTCAAAGCCAGCCTCAGCAACAGCAAGGCACTAGTTACTCAGTGAGACCCTGTGTCTAAATAAAATACAAAATGGGGCTGGAGATGTGACTTAGTGGTTGAGTACCTCTGAGTTCAATCCCTCTCTGATACCAGAAAAAAAAAAAATAGCAGATAGGCATATTCATATGTTGATAGTTGAAAAAGGAACTGACATCCCTTCCCAAACATCATCTATCAAAATTAGAATGAAGAAGCCCTTCAGATTCAATGTTTGCACTTCTAGGAACTAAGGCTAATGAATAACTTGCATATTTAGATTAATATGTTGAGAAAATGTATTACAACACTGGATATATAATATACAGTTCATACTTAACAAGTCCAGACCCAAATTCTTTTTCTTTTGTTTTTGTGCAATGCTAGGGATTGAACTGAGGGCCTTCGGCATGCAAGGCAAGCACTCTACCAACTGAGCTATATCCCCAGTTGGCCAAACCCAAATTCTTTATTTCCACTCCCCACTCTTTTGCCCCTAGTCTTCAACATTCTGCTATTTTGTCCCAATTGGTCACGCCAAATATAAAGGAGTCAGTATTCATTCTTCCTTCATAATAAATCCTTTTCCTCTAAAATATACTGTCAGTCATCCAGTGATCTTTACCACTACCACCCTTTACTGCAGAAAAAAAACTCTCAAAGTGATTTCAAAGAAGATCAATGTGCTTCCCTCTGTAAACCTCATCCATGACTTTGCACTGCATTTCAAGAAAAATTTAAACGCCACCCTGGTATCTATCTGCCTCTTCAAGTTCATCTCATGCTACATTCTTCCCTGCTACTCTCAGGTCAGCCCAAACTGACAATTCCTAAAATCAGCCAGTCTTAGAGCTTTTCTCCAATATGGAAAGCATTTTTCAAGCTGGCCCTCCTTATCCAGTTATTATTACAATAGCCTTCTCTGTCCACCTATTTACCTGTTTGTATACTATGATGTCATACCATGTGTCCCCTCTGTCTCTAACTTCAGTCTCCAAATACCTTGCTTATTCATTGTATATTTCTTCCCACTAGTACATAAAATCCAGATGTCATGGAACTGTTTTACTGCTGTTATCTCAGCACCATGTACAGCCCATATCAACTAGTATGTGTTGTATGATGGCAGAACAACATAAGGCCAACCTGAATTTTTCTATTTCAATGATCTACTAAATCTGATCTACTATGATAATGAAAAATGCCCACGTGGTCAACAAGAATTTGGTGAAAACCTGATTAGTGCACAATAATGTACTAAAAATTTATGATCTGGGGGCTGGGGACGTGGCTCAAGCGGTAGCGCACTCCCCTGGCATGCGTGCGGCCCGGGTTCGATCCTCAGCACCACATACCAACAAAGATGTTGTGTCTGCCAACTAAAAAATAAATATTAGAAATTCTCTCTCCCCTCTCTCACTCTCTCTTTAAAAAAAAAAAATTTATGATCTGACTTCAGTAATCTTCTTAGCTTCATCTCCCAACCCCACCCCACCCCCACCCCCACCCCCACCCCCACCACACACCTTAACTTGTTGCCATTTCCCTTCAAGAAACATAAATTGTCCAGATTGGCTGTAATTCCAGGTGTGTGTGTGTCAAGAGACAATACTGAGACTGCTGAAGACAGATCAAGCTTTGTACGGGAAGAAGTTTTTATGTTTAGTTTAGAAAATCAGAGACTTTGTGCAAAGTTTACTTTAAGAACTGGAAGGGAGCTGATTAACTAGAAGAGGTAACCACCTAAATGCCATAAACACAAAAACACTTTGCTATCATGCAATCAGTATCATGTGTTCCTGTGTGGCAGATCAAGCTTTAGATATTTCCTTACCATTGAGATTTTGAAAAGTGTTATACTACAGCCTGTGCTACAATGCGGGCCCAGTTCCTGAAACTGCCCCCAGTGAAGTTATGTCAAATTTGCCTAATGAAATTTGGTCCCATCTTAGATAATGACTAGAATCTACATAAGTACTTTTTCCACTGATAACACATTCTCCTTATCTTTCTTATTCATTTTAAAACACTCCCTATTCATCTGCTTGTATATTCTATTTTTACTTTAAAATGAAGTCTGCTTACCTATTAAGTGCACTTTTTAAATCATAGCATATTTTATACTTTGTTATGGAGAACATGTTGCTATTTGTTATCATAATTGGGAAATGTGTCTTGGGAGCAATTAACATTTTTAATTTTTTAATTCTAATAAGCAAACATAAATATTTTAACTTTCAAAAATAACACCTATAGTTCAGCAGTTTCCAATTCTCCTTGTATTCTAAGACTTGTCCTCACTTACCTAATCCCTGAAGGTCTCTAAATTTGTAACCATCTGATTTTATTCCTCATAATTTTAATGTTTGCTATTAAATGTCCCAGAAAGGACATAAAAATGCTAACTTGAAGTTTCATTAGCACATTCCTCCAGTTCTACCATAATTGTTTTTCCATTAAAAAAAAAATGATTCTTTGGGAAAAAAAATTGAAATAATTAAATTTCCTTTCTGTGCCTATGAAGAATGTATATCACCTAACTGAAGCAACCCTGTAGGTTGCCTGGAAGTTATGTCTCTAAACTGGAGCACAAAGAGCTAGTTTCAGTTCTTAGGAAAAGTCCTGCTCCTGTTAATGTTACCTCTCTTTGTCTCAAATCAGGAATCAACATGTTCCAGGCACAGAGCTGTAAGCACTGCAAATAATAGCAGAGAAGGAAAAACTAGAGATTACAGAACCCCAGTGAGATCACAACACCTGCAGACAAACAGAACACTTTTTTTGAGGAGGATTGCATGTATATAGGTAATGAGAATCAAAGGATTAAAAACTCAGAGAACTACTGAAATGACAAGTAATGTACAGTCTGTCTCTGTAATTTTCTACCTTATACAATTCACATGATGAAGTATGCAGTAAGCTCTGGAAAAGACTTAACCTTTTCCCCTCCGTAGAAGTGAATTACAAGAGTCAATGATCTGGTGTTGTACTACTTTCTGAAATCAAAACAAACAAAAACACAACAGAAACTTACCTTCATAAATGGACCCCAGTTGATATCTACCACTAAAAAACTGTGGCAAGGAAAATACAAGTGCCCCCAGTCCTATCATAAAGGATGCAAATGCAAGCCATCTGGGCTTGTGTCCTCTTTCACCAAAGAATGATACAAATAATGACAATAAACAGAAGGCAATATCGTAGCTTGATGATATCAGGCCAGTCAGGGAACTTTTCATCTCATAGCGCTTCTCAATAGTGGATATGCTGATATTTACTAGGCCATTTACAACAACACCTAAAAAAGAGAAAAGGAAATTTAAATGGATTACTCTAAATTTACTACATAGGATATGATTATTAACACAATCTACTAAAAAGTTTGGCTTTTTTGTTGTTTTTAAAAGTGTCAATTTTAAAGTTCTCAAAGTTTCAAAGAGAAGCAACCTGAACATACTTCCTTGAAAATCAGTTTGCCTTTTAAATTGTTTACTTGCGAATTTTCAGGTGCCCAACAAAACTGATGCTTGCCACATGCTAAACTGCAGTTAATTGGCCTTAATTCATTTTCCTTTAAGTGATAAATAAAAGTCAGACTGATAGAGTCCCATGAAGTTGGTTTGCCAGTTGTCAAGTGTTCTGTACTTAAAAAGACCTAAGAGTACAGAGTGTACAAGTGACCCTAAAGGCCTTAAAGTAATGCTCAATTGCTTCCGGAGCCCTAACATACTTATCTATCACAACAGATCACCTTGAGTTTTAAGAAGAGGAAATCAAGCTCTCAAACCTCTTTTAATTTTTTTCTAAAACTTATATGGATATTGAAGATATCATTTAAAAGGTTGTAGCAAAAAAAAAATGAGTTGAGTTTTATTTCAACCACTAGCATTCTAAATCATATGCACTGTAGAAAAAGAAAAAAAGAATTTCCTCTGCTTATTATAAATATAATGAAGGACTACAAGATAAACAAAGATTGGAAAACCCAACTTTGACTGATTTAAGTGTCCTGCCCAGGTATAGATGAAATTTTCAAGAGTTTAAACATTAGCATAAATTGAAAATTTTGACTAGTTATGTATTTTAGTTAAGTATCAAGAACTGTTTTCATTATTAATTAATACAATGAGTTTACACATGGCAAAATCTTTAGCATCTCTTTAAATGTTTCTGTATCAAGACTTTAATCAAAAATTATTTCAAGAAAATTGAAATTGCAGCTTTCAAATGTGTTAATATGGTTTTTACTCTTATGCCAGTTTAATAAGACTTTAACAATTTCTGAGATTTCAAGATAAAATATCTGAAGTACCTAGGAAAGGACATTTTATAAGAAAATATCTGATAATTTGAAAATTCCCCCACCTAAAAATCAACTTCCCACACCTCTCATATTGATTAAATATCTGTCATTAGAAATCATTAGGGAACAACTTCTCTTTGAAAATAAATTGGAATTTCCTCTGGAAGGACTACACTTTAATCCTATGAATCCCTAAGTGAACTCTATGCTATACAAATTCCAAGAACACTGCTTTTAAAAACACTTCCATGAAATACCACACACATTTCTTGCTATTGTAAATGCATGGAGATAGGAAGCACATTAGGAAGTTAAGTGCTAAGAGAAATCCTGTTTGTCTTTGAGAAATGCAGAGTTAAATAATTTCTTCAAATTTTGTTTTCCCTCCCAATTAAACATCTATTAATATTTGATGGAAATGGTCTTCCCAAGGATTATGGCAAGGATGTTTTCCGTCATTGAAACTTAGACTGAAACATGAATTAATTTATTGGATCACATTCATCCCAGATTATGCTTCTTAAATTGGTGATTTCTCGGTACATGAATTTTCAGGCTAAAACAAACATTTTTCTAAGTGCACCAATTATATTTTATAATAATTTAAAACAAGATTATATATTAAGTATAAATGACATATTCTAGAATAATTTAGAAATTTTACAATAAATTTTAAGGAAAAAAACAAGGTAAGTTTCGAGTTTTTGAATTTTACATTCCTTTGACACAAAGACATTTCACAATCACTGACTCTTGACAAGTAAGTTGAGTCAATAACGGAAGGAGACCTGAGGGGAGGACAAGAAACTAAGCTTCAATGTGTCCTTCAGTCTACTCCACTTTACACACCCATACACTGCTCCCCAGGAGTCACCTTAGGATAAAGTCCCACTTAGATCATTCCTTGCATTATGAGCTACACCTACTCCTCTCACCTTTACTATGCTTTCTTTCAAGGAACTCATTCACCTTCCACCATCTCTCTCTCTTCTCTTCTAAACTCGCTGAGATTGCATATTCCTGAGGACCTAAATCTGGACTTAATCTGTAACTCCCAAGAAAACCAAACTGGGGGAATAAAACAGATCCTGGATAATTCCTGTGCCTGAATGGCTAGGAAAGCTTCACCCTTCCACAAGGCCTGAAGCCTTTGCTAATGGACTCACCGGAATGCAATTGTGCCCACAGCCCCTATCTATATATACTCACAAAATGTGAATGCTTATATCTAATCTATACTACAGATTTTAAATTTATTTCCTTTTCGAAGGGACCTATTTTCATTTACAAATTTATTAATCCAGATGGAGAAATAATGGGAAATAATCCCTTTAATAAAGAACTCTGAAAAAATAGGCTTTTTAAAGTAGAATGGATTACCCCCGGGGTTATATCATTCCCAGAGGTCCTCCTAATCTTCCCTGGAGGGATCCAATCAGCTTACCCAAGGAAAAGCACAAAATAGTAAAATCTTGTATAGCAAGTTTTTAAATGTTGCAATAAAGTAGAAGCTAAAACGTGGAAGGCTGAACCTGGTAGGCTGTCGTCGGTGATGGCTCCAACAAATTCCAAGCCCACCTCGCCTCGCACAGCGCGTCAGCGGCGCGGGGATCCCTGCACCTGCCCTCTTCTCCCTGAAACCTCGCCGCGTCTCGCTAGCTCTCCACCGGACTGACGCCCCCTTGAGAGAACTCTTGACTTTACCTTGAGTGAGGGCCAACAGGCAGTAGTGAATCAGAAACCCTTGTGGCGTGTTGCAGCGCTGGAGACACTGGGGATGCAAGTTGCTCCATCCGCAAGGCCCCTCCTCAAACTCCGACTGTGGTCCGGGGCGCTCTTCGGAAGCCGGGACAGTTGCTGAAGGCAGAGGAGGTTCCCGTGACTTGTGGGACTCTGGAGACTCCTGTGGCTGAGAACCCTCCCTCTGGGTGTCGGAGGATAAAGCAGAGACTTCCACCTGGGAGGGCGACGCCGACAAGCGGTGCGGGGTGTCTGGGCTGGAGGGAATGAAAGCCGGGTTCTCAATGCCTTTGGTGCCCTTCATTGTCGTGAACTGTTCTCCCGACTCCAGTGCCTCGGAGCAGCAAAACGCTAGGTTCCTTTCTGGCTCCTCCCCTGGACAGGTGACAGCGCCCCCGTGCGGAAAAGCGTCCCACCTCCCGGCCCTCCCACCTCTGACTGTCTCGCAGCCACAGTCATGCGGACCCTCCCCCAGAAGCTCACCGCTGCCTGGAGCTTGGAAGGCAGTCACCAGACTGCACGATAAGTGGGTGGCGCTAGGCTGCGCCATACCTGTCATCTCTGGTGTCAGGATAGGGCTTATAGGAAACCGTAGCGTAGGCACGCGATCCCGCCCGCTCCAGGTGAGAAGTGCGAGCCGCCCTACCCTAAGTCCCAGTCCCTTGGGGTTCTTTCTTGGTGCCCAGGGACAGGGAACAAATAGGGTTTCTGAGAGTCTGTGGCCAAAAACTCCCCCTGGGTGCTGATATGAAAGCTGTAAACAGAGTTGCATCAGGAGATCTTTCAAGAAAATATCTTGCGGTTTTCTTCCTTTGCTACTTAGCAAAGCAAGAATCCTGGACTCCAAGAACCAAACAGCCACACGTATAATTTTGGATTCCATGAACATGGTGATAAAACTTTTACCTGTCATCTTCCTCAGAAAGCATACTAGCTTCCCATAACAACCACTTTATTGGCAACATAACCACTTCTTAGTTTTTATTTCCTCCAAACTAAAAGAGTAGAAATCATGAAACTGAAAACTTATATTTAACCTTCTCTGGACAGTATGTTGCATGTCTAAGATCAACAATGCTGATAATCATGTAAATAATTATCATGTATGTAATTTTTACCCATGAAATTATAAGCAGAGACTTTAAAGACCTTTAACACTATCTGTGATAGGAGTTGCAATTTGTTCATTCTTTCATCATTAAAAAAAAAAAAAATCCTAGGTTGTAGACACTCTTAGGGTATACCAGCAAACAAAAACTGAGAAATAGGGTTGGGGTTGTGGTTCAGCAGTAGAGCACTCGCCTAGCATGTCTGAGGCCTTAGGTTTGATCCTCAGCACCACATAAAAATAAATAAATTAAGTATTAAAAAAAAACCTGAGAAGTATTCAGACCCTTATGTACTTAACATTCCAATAGGAGAGAGCCAGTAAATAATAATACATAGTGGGTGATACATAATATGATAAATGATTTGTAAAATATTTGTATTAATTACTTATATTATAGTTTCTGAGTTGAGGGATTGAGTTATAAAATATACACTTACTTTGAAAAGACATTCTGTTCCCTGTTCCCTAACAGTTAAAAAAAAAAAAAAAAAAAAAAGTCTAGTCTAGAATATGGGGAAGGAGTAGCAATAAAAACTAACATTTTTAAATGTCTACTATATGCCACATTATTATTCCTTGCATGATTATAACTATTATTACCTACATTTTACACATTGAAGAAATCATATACCAGCAAGGATCAGTAACTCTCAGAGCAATGAGTGTCCTGCCACTTGTTAAGGATTTGTTCTCAGTTCTCTCAGCCTGGACATTTTTATTTTCTGTTTTTAAATAATCAGTCAGAATTATCACATTCTGAGATATCAGAACACATATTTCACCTATATTTGTGAGGTTTGGGAAACTTATACTGAATTGAATACTTCAATTTTGGAGGTGTCCAAATGAAATATGGTATGTAACCCTCTTAATCTCCCCACTCCATCTTTTTTTTTTTCTGTTTTCTTTTTTTCATTGTACTGGGATTGAATCCAGGGCATTCTACCCTGAGCTATATCCCTAACCTGTTTTTATTTTTATTTTGAGACAGGATCTGGCCCAGGCTGGCCATGAATTTGTAATAATCTTGCCTTTCCTTCCAAATATCTGGAACTTTGGCACTCACCACTCTGCCTGTTTAGCCTTCCTTTTGACAGAAATAGACTTAAATTTGGCATCTATAAGTATAAGGAGAGATCACCATTTTAGCTATAGAATATAAATAATTCACTCATAGTTTTATTTGAGAAAATGTGGACCTGAAAATATAGCTTAAGACTATTCTGCAGCTTTTAATTAACAAATCCAAACTATCCAGTCAAAATCAGAGTATTATAATCATCATACGCTTAAATTCACACTACCAAGAAATCACTTTTACAGTGTTAAAGTGTAGGATTTTGTTGAAAGACTGGCAAAAGTTCTATTGCTTCATACTAAGCACCTCTTGCTCTTACTGAAAGTATTACCAACACCACTTTCCTATTACCTTACATTCTTGATGCTGCAATGATAGAAGTAAAGGGACTCAGGTTTATAACAAAGATTTTCAAACACTTAACAGTTTTCACATCTGATAATTCAGTGGAAAATTGTCACATTTTAAGTTAATATGTTGATTAATTTATGATAAATATGTCTCTAATGAGAATAGTAAATGTACTTGACAAATTGCTATAATTTTGAAGTGGATCTCATTTGCTATATTTTAAAGGAGAGAGAATGGGGGCGAAAACAGTGTCTAAATTTTATGGTAAGCTATAACACTGTACATAAAGCAGATATCTCTGCTATCCTCTGCATTGTGCAATATATCTTCCCTATCAGTAATTGAATTAACTAAGGTAAAGTGGCATAATGAGAGAAGCCATTGAGATTAGTCCCCTAACTCCCTTTTCTCTGATTCCATGATTGAGAACACTTTATGATTACATTTTGGCCTTTCAGGTTGATTGGTCTACTGGATAAAAATGTACTGATATGCCTATTTTGAGTACTATAATTTCCCCTTCTGTGTACTCTATTAATTCCCTTCCAGTTGCAGACCAAATGTAAAAATTTTTTAGCATTATAATACTAAAAGGCTCATAGAATACTAACCTTGAGGATTGCTGAGGGCCATTACCAAGTAGGAATGAAGCATCGAAATTTCCTTGCCAAGCGTACCCCATGCTGCTTAGAAGACATTCATCGCTTGTATGCTTTAATAAGGTGACCTTGCTCAAGGACCAAGGCGGATCCGGGTTTAGAGCTGATCAGGTTTGAGGAAGTAACCGGCTCCTTGAGTTTAAGGCGTTGCTAGTTTAAGATAATGGGTTTTAGGGAAGTTGGAGGTTGAAGATTATTGCTGGGATTAGGGTGTTCCTGCTGCTTGTTCCCGTTGAGTTCTTGTGAGATTAAAATGGGATTTGGAGATAGCCTAGTGGAGTGGGTGAATTGTGCAGGAGACGGCAGAACAAGATTGCCCCTGGACCTGTGTGGAGGCGGTGTGAGAGCGGATATAAAGAATTGCTGTTTGAACCTACAAAGCTGTGTGGTGGCTCGTGATTCTGGTGCCAAGCCGAGACATTGGCTTTGGCAGAGGATCTTGACAGTACCTCAATACAAACATGATACTGATATTAATGAAGCCTTAAAAATCCCAGAGTTAACATTTTACTAATACAGAGGATTTATTTAACTAATTCAAAGCAATAAATCCATCTAAATAAATTAGTATTCTTTATTTTTCCCATTTAAATGTTTCACTGAATATATAATGAAAAATAAGAAAAATTTAAGGCTAAATTATGTATTTTAATGCTGTTTTGAACTACAATTGCACATAAACATATTTATATTGAAATGAAATGCAGCTATACTTTCCTTTTATTCTAATCATAAATTATTGAGATATATAGCATAAACATGACAGATCACAATTTTTGAAATACTTGTGTCAACACAACAGTTAATGCAATAATCTCTTAAGAAAGCTAACCTTGTAGATACAAAAAATTTCCTACAATGTAAAAAATAATACACAATGTCAATTTAAACTTTTTATTGATATATTATTGCAGTTTACTCAAAACACCATTGAGCTTCCTAAAGTATACTTATGATACAAATATTATTGCAAAAAATCATAGTGAATTTATACATATCAAGAAGTGTTTTTAACTAAAAGAATTCATTGTAAATTAATAATGAGGATATTATACCTAAAATGTATTTCTTTGCTACTCAACATCTGATTTCGATGCCTAATAGAACCTTCAATGTGCTAGGAAGATATGGAAGATATGTAATCACAATAGCATAATCATGACAAAATGTCATCATCATTGATTAGAAAAACAGCCAAACTTCAGCTCTTGATAGTTCTGTAATTTAATTTAGTCATTACTTTTCTCTCAGCAAAAGGAACTAGTACAATGATAAAAGTTGTTAAAATTTAGATTTGTAGAACCACAAAGAACATTAAGATACCATTTGTTCCAGAAGCCTACCTCCAGGAATTTTGAAGTCAAATGTACCCACAAGCTCAATGCACTCAGAACCAAAAAAGAGACCAATAATAAGTAAAGAGAGAGAGGTAACTAAGGGGATTTTCATATATTCTTTCATATGAATCTTTTCTTAATTTACTGGGAGTTGGAAATAGTGTGAGGTTGAGGGAGCTAGAAAGGTATTATTTAAAAGCAAAACAAAACACAAATACAAGTAAGAACTCTAGTGAACTGTGTTCAAGGTAGTGGACAAACTTTTTTTTTTAATTTACATTTTGTTCCCTGAATGGTACAGGTTGCTCCATCATAGTCAACTTTGAGAAAAAGGAAATTGAACTCAGGAAAGTCACTGCAACACTAGCCTATTTCATAATCCCCTAGGTCTGCCTTGTCTACTCACTTGCCATTTGTCACTGTGGACCTCTGGACTGCTCTAATGCTCAAAATCCTTAACTGTCAGGACTCCACCTGATAGAAAATAAGGACTTTGGGTTACTTCCCCAACTTTTCCCTGTTTCAGTAGGAAGCATCTTGGAGATATCGTCGCCCATTTTTCCCTAGAAATGGAATGTAGAAATTGACAGTGGGGAAATGTAACCATGGTCCCCTTTAGGCTTTGAATACAGCCCTTGCTGCTCTGTCTCTGCAACTTATTTTTAAATGGACATGTTTCTTTCTCTTCCTCTCTCCCTTCTCTACCTAATCTCTCCCACTTCCTCATGTCAGGGGGGAAATGATTACCTTTCTTCCCCATTTTAGGCAGATGTATCTGTCCTTGAAAACCCACCCACCACAGGAATGAAGTAATCCGGGAGATTAGGGAGGAGAGATCAGGAAGGAGAAGATCAGGGAGGAGAAGTTTAGGGAAAAGAAAGAAGATTAGAGAAGATCAGGGAAAAGAAGATCAGGGAGAAGTTTGGGGAAAAAGAAAAAAACACTTTAAGTTTCAAGGCCACAATGTATATAGTCAAAGCATCAAGTGAACCCCTGTTACAAAAGATCTTTATATTCCATTTTATCAGAACACATGAGAATTTACTAGACCAAAGGATTATAGAACCTAAGCTCTTCTAAGGCAAAGTGAAATCAAGACAAATTTTTTAAAAAATTTGATATTGATATTAAAAGTATAGCCAACACACTCTACTGTCATGTTTATCTAACAAGAAGAAATTTTTAAAAATGTATAGCCAGGACTGGGGTTGTGGCTCAGCATAGAGCGCTTGCCTGCTACGTGTGAGGCCCTGGGTTTGATCCTCAGTACCACATAAAAATAAATAAATAAAAATAAAGGCATTGTGTACAACTAAAAGAAATAAATATTTTAAAAAAGTATAGCCAATGGAAGGACTTTGCTTCCGTCAGAAATGAAGTAACAGGGACCAGATTTAACCTGAAATATGTAAAAGAAGAAAAAGAAGACACTATAAGATGCTGATAAAGAGTAACCCTTAAGAGACAAGGAGGAAGGCAAGCAGTTTATATCTTGAGAATGTTTTCACGTGACTGAGGGGAGGGCGGAGGTGGGAAAGGACACAGCTCTGTCAAGTACGCAGCCAAGGAGACAGATCTGATGTCTGAGGAGACCCGTGGTTAGAATACTTAGAGCATAGTACTAGAGAGGGAAAAGCCACATGGAGGAGAGGTGCAGAGTGTGCTCTACGCAGCAAAGTGTGCATAGCACATAGGAGAGAAGAAACTATTCTAGTGATAGGAAAGAATCATCTGAAGGGTCAGAGGGATGAGCCAGTAGTCACACAGGGCCTAATAAAGGTGAAATAAAGTTTTCAGGCATAAAAATCATAAATAAATAAACAAACAAATAAATAAAAAAAAATCCATCACCCAGACACCTGCATATAAGAAATGTTGAAAGAAGGCCTTCAGAAAAAGAGAAAAGAAAATGATGATATATAAAATTTTCTTATTATTTTGATCTCTGTAAAAAATAAGTTAGTATTTAAAGAAAAATAACAATGTGGGGTTCATAAGATATGGGAAGGTGAAAAGTATGACAATATTAGTATAAAGATTAGGAAAACAAAAATGGAAGCTATTGTGAGTATTTGACTTCCCAGTCAGTGTTTTCAAAATAGGATGAAATGATTAAGTCACAACTCTCTAATCACTTTACCTCTGAATATTCCTGCCTTAACAGGAGCTTTTGGGGTACACCCAAAACAAAACTATAACAGTAATTACACTATAATCATAAAAGAGAATACTCATATTCTCCTACTCACTCTCCATATAATTTTAAAGAATATGAAGTTGTAAATATGGCAAAACATAAGTCATTGAAAAGTCTGAGTAAAGAATATATGTACTGGGCTGGGGCTTAAGCTTAGTGGTAGAATGCTTGCTTAGCATGTGTGAGGCATTGAGTTCTATCCTCGGCACAGCAAAAAATAAAGCAAAATAAAATAAAGAAATAAAATGAAGGCATTTTTGTCCATCTACAACTACAAAAAAAATCTTTAAAGGAGTATATTTAATAATATTGCTACTCCTATAATTTTTTTTGATAATTTTACAATTAGCACAAAATTTGAGATGTAAGGTTTGAAAAACAAATATCTTTCATAAAACCTTTTAAAAGTTTCCAATTATACTCAGAATACAATAAAATGCCATTTCATGACCTACAGGGTCTTGTATATTTTAGCCCTTGGTTATATCTCAGTCCCTATGGAATACTGCTTTTACTCCTTGCTCAATACATTTATCATTAGGATCTCTTTCTTTTTCCATCAATACAACAAATCTTCTCAGCCTCGAATCCTTTAAACTTGCTATTCTCTCTACCCAGAATATTGTTCTTTAGGATCTTGTAAAGCTGACATTTTCTCAAATTCAATCTCAGCATAAATGTCATCTTAAGGAGGCTTTCTCTGGTTTGATTGAAATAGTCACACAAACACACACACACACACACACACACAGAGAGAGAGAGAGAGAGAGAGAGAGAGAGAGAGAGAGAGAAACATATTCTCTATATTATATCACCTGTCCTGTTTACTTTCCTTATATCTTTTGTCACAATTCACAGATATTTTGCTCTCCTGTATTATCATCTTTCCAAAACCAAAATAGGTTTGTATTTCTAATTTTAGCATGATAAACATTTATTTATGAAATCCGACACCTAGCATGACAAACACTTATTGAATGTAATGAATCGATCTGAAAGTAATCCACAAAATTGTAAACATTATAATAACCATCATGATACCTGTCATTTATATTGACAGTAACATGCGAAATTCTTTACAATTAGTATGTTAACCTTCCCAATCTTACTTGGTATGATAGGCAGCTTCTGCAAGGACTTCCAATGACCCCAACCTTGTGGTTCTCACAACTCTTGGTCATTCCCTTCTTTTGTAAGTGCTGGCTAGAACTATTAACTTGCTTCTTACAAATCAAATATGGCAAAAGTTGTGAGATGACAAAAAAATAGCAAACATACTAAAATGAAATTTGGTAGATATGACCTTGGTTACATTATCAAAGTTAAATAATATTAGTAATACATATTGACAACAAGTACCCTATGGGGTGCAATGGAAAGGGCTAATCACTCCTGCATTCTTATAATGCAAAATCTCAATCTATTCATGAAAAAAATATAAAGCAAATCCAAATTAAAGAGTAATTTACAAAGTGACTACTAGTCATAAAAGTTTGTAGATTACGAGATAAAATAAAAACCTGAGGAACAATCCCAGATCAAAGAGGATAAAGAGCTATGACAACAGAAGACACTGTCATGTCTGAGATGAGATCCTGAAATGGAAGAAAAAATATTGGCTAAAATGCTGGTGGCATGTGAATGAAGTTGTAATTTAGCTTAACAAAAGTAATGGAATGTTTGTTCTGAGAGTAGGCTGTCAACAACAGTGACTCATCTTTCACTCTCTCTTTCTGCCTCTAATGAAGTAACTTGCAGAGGAGCTGACCTATCAAGAAGTCTGCATAGCCAGGAACTGTAAGTGGTCTCTGGTCAATTTCCAGGAGGGGCTGAGGCCCTTGGTCCAACAGCCCTTTAGGAACTGAATACTACCACAACTATAGTAGTGAGCTCAGAATCAGAAGCAGAAACATGGAGATGACTGCAGCCAACACTGATTTCAGCCCCTTGAGATGCTAAGCCACAGAACCCAGGTAAACTTCATTCAGATTCCAGGCCCACAGAAACTGGTATGATAAGTACTCACTGTATTAAGCCAATACATTCTGGATTAATTTGTTATTTGATAAAAAATTACTGAGTTACATACTGTCTTGGTTACTTAGTAACCTAGATAGATTATTCTGTACAATTACACCTATTTTGACAATGAGGAGAGTGGCTTTAAAATGTTTGTAACTAGAGGCTGAAATCATGGCTCTGTGGTAGAGCACTTGCATAGCATGTGTGAGGCACTGCGCTCAATCCTCAGCACCACATAAAAATACATAAATAAAATTAAGATATTTTTAAAATGTTATATAACTTGCTCAAAGGCACACAATTAAGTGACAAAACTGAAATTCAAATCTTATTTTTTTTTCAGAGACAAAATCTATTGTCTTAGTCATTGAATTATAATGTAAGAAAAGGTCCTGTATGATAGTAGATTTATGTATATATAAATATATATATGTGTGTGTGTGTGTGTGTGTGTGTGTGTGTGTGTGTGTGTAACAAAAATGATCATGTAATGGCCAGATTGCAATAAATCACCAAGTCAACCTAAAAATATAGAATTCTTCATGAATTCGAGTATCATCCCTGCACAGGGGCCATGCTAATCTTCTCTTTATGGTTTCAGTTTTAGCATATGTGCAGCCTAAGTGAACACAGTAGTTACATTTTTTGCTAATGAAATTGTTTTAAGCCAGAATTTTTTACAAAATGCTGGAATCTATTTTCAAATAAATTTATGAACATAATACTCTTTAACATGTAATTCTGTTCAAGTAAAACTGTTTTTTTTCCTTTGATGGGGTGGCATTATTATCATCACACTCCAAATGGATGATAACAAGCACTAACACTGAACTAGCAAATTCTCTTAGTTACTTGGAGGTACTCTCAAAGCAATCAGTAGCCCAATAATAACAGAAAATATCAGAATTCCAAAAGATTCTTTATAGTTACATTGAGGGATTTCAGAACTGCTCAAGGAGAAATATATGAAATGAGCTTTATTTGGGAAACACTTGAACAGGATTGCATGTGAGGAAAGTCTCTCACAGCATACCATGTAGAGGCTACAGCTCTTGGGTAAGCAGTATCCAGAAAGGAAGGAGAGCAAGAGAACTCAGAGGGGAAAAGAGGAACATGGAGGAGACTTTCATGACTACTTGATGTTCCGAGCGCTCCAGCCAAGAATCAGGATCAAATAGCTGCAAAAGGAGGCAGCAGTGTGTAGGGCTTATCTGATCTGTGGTTAATGCCTGTTGAGCAATTTCCCATAAAATGGAAAGCACATAGACTAAAAATGAGTAAGAATCTGTTTATCTGGGCTATCTTGGAAACACCGGAAGTGTAAAAATTTAAATTTGGCACTAGTAAGCGTAAAGAGTTAAGCTCAGGAGTTGCAGACTACCAGGAATTAATAAACCAACCCAGGGGTTATCTCTGGTTCATTCATATAACAGATCCACACTAGAGTTCTACAAATTGACTTGACCCAACAAGCAACAACTTGCTTTAAAAACCTTTAGGCTAAAATAAGATCATAACTTTTGTTACTTGGCAGGCAAATGTGAAGTGTCAAAGAAGTGTTTGTGCATATGGGAGCCTCAAAACACTTTGAGAAAAATATTGGCCCCTCCCCGGGCATTGATGTATTCTCTGCCCTGTCACTTGCGAGAGGAACTGGGGCTAACTCTAGGCAAAACAAAACAAGATTTTTAATGTATAGTTACATTTTACTCTGGTTTTTTACTATCTTGTATTTTTTAAAAAGATGACTTTTAAATGAGATACACATTCTTCACTGCAATCACTAACCACAATTTAGAATTGCAAATCTGTGTGCCAGAGAGCAGATGAAATACAAGGGTTGAAGGAGAATATTAATTATGAGGTATAAAATTTTAAAGCTCTAGTGTCAAACCAGAACTCTATGAATAAGAAAAAAATGTGTGCCTTATAGAAATATCTACACAGAGCTATAATTTGGTAAATGTATTTTTAGTATAAACTATGTCAAGACATATTGCAGTAAAAAAGTCACTCTTCAAATTGTGGCATGTTAACATAGTAAAGACTTTATTTCTAGCTCCATACATGTTTAACAAGCATTTGGGGGATGTTTGCTATATAATATACATTCACTCAGGAGCCCAGGTTAACTGAGCATCTACCATCCTGCAGATGTACTATCTGAACCATTATAGACACAGTAGCCCAAAAGAGAATCTCCGAAGTGATCCATTTCATTTCTGTTCACATTTTACTGAACAGAATTAGTAACAGCAAAATTTAAAGGAGACCAAAAAAATGTAAGTGGGAGATGTGAATAGAATATTGGATGAATATTATCTCTGGGACAGTGCCACTCCTACAAGTTTTGGGAAACTAGTATGGTAGCTACACTAGTTCCCTATTGCTTTTTTCACAAATGACCAAAAAAATAGTCACTTAAAAAAAAAAAGACATTTGTGATCTTATAGTACTAGAGAATGCAAAATGGGTCTCATGTGATGGTATTCCTAGACTTTGGGTTCCTTCTATTTACTGCAGAACAATTCACAATAGCTAAACTGTGGAACCAACCTAGATGCCCTTCAGTAGATGAGTGGATAAATAAAATGTGGTATATATACACAATGGAATATTACTCAGGATTAAAAGAGAATGAAATCATGGCATTTGCATATAAATGAATGGAGTTGCAGAATATAATGCTGCAACTCCAGTGAAGTGAAGTAAGCCAACCCCCCAAAACCAAATGTGGAATGTTTTCTCTGACATAAGGAGGCTGATTCATTGTGGGGTTGGGAGGGGGAGCATGGGAGGATGAGAGGAACTCTAGATAGGGCAAAGAGATGGGAGAGGAAGGGAGGAGGCATGGGGTTAGAAAAGACAGTGGAATGAGATGGATATCATTACCCTAAGTACATGTATGAAGAGATGAGTGGTGTGAATATACTTTATATACAACCAGAGATATGAAAAATTGTGTTCCATATGTGTAATATGAATTGTAATATATTCTGCTGTCGTATATAACAAATTAGAATGAAAAATTTATACATGTAAAAAAAAAACCAAAAATATTCAAGGTAGTCTTTCTCACATCCTGTTACTGACATTGGCTCTCTGTGTTCTTCTCTGACACTTAAAAAACCTTGTGGTTACATTCAACCTGGATAATGCAGGACATTTTCCCAGTTTTAAGGGTCAGGTGATTCAAACTTTAATTTCATCTGTTATCTTACTTCTACTTTGTCATGTAACATACCTGATTTATGGCTCTGGGTATTAGAACAGGGAAATCTTTGAGTGGCCATTTTTCTGCCAACCTCAATAATATAGGAAAAACATTCCTACAGTTTCTTCATACCTGCTAATAATACTTAGTATTTTGTGTAATGCCTTTACATAAAATTCATATTTAAAAACTGTAAGTATGGACTGATAGACTTCCTTGTATCAATTTATAGGAATGAAGCAATTCAATACATTTTCTTTTTGTCTTAGAGGCAAGGAAGAATAATGAATTTGGTAGTACTTGCCATAGACATTTCTTTTTTAAAGAAAAAGAAAATTTGTAGTTGTAGATGGACACAATACCTTTATTTTATTTATTTATTTTAATGTGGTGCTGAGGATCAAACCCAGGTCCTCACATGTGCTAGGGAAGCACTCTACCACTGTACTCTAGCCCCAGTCCCTGCTATAGGCATTTTACAACATCAGTTTCTGGAATAAATATGTCCTGTTTTCCTGGGTTGCCTTATAATTTCTTTCCTTTGAAAAATGTTCCCTGCTACTTCCAATGATTTTAGAAGCAAAACTGTTTTATTAAATGCATTTATAGAAAAACAAAATAATGTTAGCTTTGCTCAATCAATAACAATTATAGAATATTGGATGCAAGATGAAAGGAAAAATAAATATTTGCCACCATTGTGTAGAACAAACTTATTTTTGTATATTATGTACAACCATGTAGAAAGCACAGCAGGAAAGAATATTCAAAGCAATAAAATAGTGTCCTTTCCCTCAGAAGCATAACATTTATTTGGAATGACAAAACAATGTAAATGAAGACACAAGTATGTCCAGCAGGAGATAAACAGACTGTGGCTTATGAAAACTGCTGAGTTAAATCAGGAGGAAAAATGATCAATAGTATGTGAAGTCTAATGGGCCAAGAATCAATGTCAGAAATATTTTTAATTAAAAAGCAACAGAAGTGTTTGTGTCAGATGATTTATTCTTTTAATAAATTTTATGATGGAAGAATTTTTTTGTAGTTGGACACAATAAGTTAACTTTATTTATTTATATGTGGTGCTGAGGATCAAATCCAGGGCCTTGCATGTGCAAGGTGATTGCTCTACCACTGAGCCATGACCCAGCTCCATTGAAGAATTATTTCATTTGGTAAATGCAGCCTTGATATCAAAACAAAAAAAAATGTTACTTCCTGAAAATCAAAGTTATAGAACAATTCTACTTAGAAGTATATATGCCATGATTTTATCCTCTTTTAATTCTCAGTAATATTCCATTGTGTATATATGCCAGATTTTTTATCCTTCATTATTGAAGGACATCTAGGTTGGTTCCATAATTTAGCTATTGTGAATTGGGCTGCTATAAACATTGATGTGGTTGTGTCCCTATAGTATGCTGTTTTTAAATCTTTTGGGTATAGACCAAGGAGAGGGATTGCTGGGTCAAATGGTGGTTCCATTCTCAATTTTCTAAGAAATCTCCATACTGCTTTCCATATTGGCTGCACCAATTTGCAGTCCCACCATCAGTCTCTGAGTGTACCTTTTCCCCCACATCTTCATCAATACTTATTGTTGTTGGTATGGAGTTATAGAAGATAATGCTAAGTGAAGTTAGCCAATCCCCAAAAAACAAATGCCAAATGTTTTCTTTGATATAAGGAAGCTGATTCAGAGTGGGACAGGGGGAAGCATGGGAAGAATAGATGAATTCTAGATAGGGCAGAGGGGTGGGAGGAAAAGGGAGAAGGCATGGGGTAATTAATGATGGTTGAATGGGATGATCATTATTATCCAATGTACATGTATGAGGACACAAATTGGTGTGAGTATATTATGTATACAACCATTGAGCTCTATATATGTAATGAGTTGTAATGCATTCTGCTGTTATATATAAATAAAAAAAGAAAAAATCCACAATTAGAACAGAAAATATAAGTCTTTGTGAGTATGGGATAAAAGCTGCTAGACAGTTTTATGTTTGTCATTTCAAATGAATTCAGAATTATGCATCTGGTCAAAATAAATTCAATCGATTGAGTTTTCAAGCAAAGTCATGTTTAAGCACAAAGTATATTAAGAAAACACAAAATTCATAAAATGAAATTTTAGTTTTTTAATTTAAAAAAAGTATATATGCAAAATTCTCAAAAAAATGAGTAAGCCAAGTTGTCAATATATTAAACTTTTTATGGCCAAGTAGGATTTATTCCAGAATTATAAGAATATCTTAATTTTTAAAAACATCAATATGGCTCACATTGATAGATTGAAAGAGAAATATAGAATGTTTATCTCAATAGTTGTTATGAATTCTAATAATAATTAACACATATTTAAAGTAAAAAACACTTTAGGGGCTGGGGATGTGGCTCAAGTGG